AGGAGTGGAATGTCTGGACGGTAATAAGCAGGAGTGGAATGTCTGGACGGTAATAAGTAGGAGTGGAATGTCTGGACAGTAATAAGTAGGAGCGGGTGTCTGGACGGTAATAAGTAGGAGTGGAATGTAATAAGTAAGAGTGGGTGGCTGTATAAACATAGAAGAAGAGATTGGTGGAAGAAATAGAGAATCCAGAAATAGATCCATACACATGTGAGCAACTAATTTTCAACAAAGTTACATGGGTATTTATGGAGAATGGATTGTCCTTTCAACAAATGGTGTCGGAGCAGTTAGATAGCCATTGCAAAAAAATGAAGTTGAATCCTTCAAAGATCTAAATGTAAAAGTATAAAACTTTTAAAAGACAACACAGAAAAAAGTATTTGAATTAGGCAAAGGTTTCTTTGGTACAAGCCCAAAAGCACAATCCATAAAAAACAAATGAGTGAAGTGGACTTCAGCTCAAGTAAAAACTTGTGCTCTTCAAAATACACTATTAAGAGAATTAGAAGACAAGGAGGGCAGATCACTGGAGGTCAGGAGTTCGAGACCAGCCTGGCCAACATGGCGAAACCCCGTCTTTACTAAAAATACAAAAGAATTATCCGGGTATCATGGCACACACTTGTAATCCCAGCTACTTGGGAGGCTGAGGCAGGAGAATCCCTTGAACCCAGGAAACGGAGGTTGCGATGAGCTGAGATTGTGCCACCACACTGCAGCCTGGGCAACAGAGTTATCTGTCTGAAAAGAAACAGTTCATTTTCTGATTCATCTATAGAAATACAGTTGTTTATTTGAGACAGGATCTGACTGTGTTGGCCAGGCTGGAGTGCAGTGGCAGTCATAGCTCACCACGGCCTCAAACTTTGAAGTCCAAATCATCATGCCTCCTCGGCTTTCCAAGTGGCTGATATAGGCACACACCACCACACCTGGCTAATTTTGTTTTGTTTGGAAAGACAGAGTTTCACTATGTTAGTCAGGCTCGTCTTCACACTCCTGGCCTTAAGCGATCCTCCCACCTGAGCCTCCTGAGTTCTTGAATAGCTTGGGACTACAGGCTCACCATACTCGGATTTTGTTTTTGTTTTTTGTAGAGGACAGGGTCTTGCTTTTTTGCCCAGGCCAATCTCAAACTCCTGGCCTCAAGCAATCCTCCCACCTCAGCCCCACAAAGTGCTAGGATTACAGGCATGAGCCACCACACCTGGCCTATGTTAATGTTTTCTTTTTCTTTTTCATCTGTCTGTACTTTGTAGAACTTATTATTAGGAATGCTTTTCAGAAATGACCTACGTTTATTTCTAGTGGGAGCTAGCAGTTTTTATTCACATTCGAACACTTTTTAGGGTGACCATAGATCTTGCTTTGCCACAGATAGGTTTGGCTAAAGCCTGTTTTCCCGGCAGCATTGTTAAGAGCTCTCTTTCACGCTTGGAAATGCCCCGGTTTAGAAAATAAACGATGTGGTGACTTCAGTTCCTGGTTCCTGTGGGGTGACCCATGCTGGCCAGGCCAGGGATGGCACCCCTCCTGCCCACTTGCCTTGTGGGGTTCAGCGCCTCCCTGTGGGGATGGGCTGGGGATGGCACCCCTCCTGCCCACTTGCCTTGTGGGGTTCAGCTCCTCCCTGTGGGGATGGGCTGGGGATGGCACCCCTCCTGCCCACTTGCCACTCCCTGTGTCCCTTGGAGAGTTCTCCCACTTTCTGACACCCCCAGAAATACCTTTAAAAGTAAGTTTGTGTCTGGTGTAGCAGCTCATGCCTGTAGTCCCAGCACTTTGGGAGGCTGAGTTGGGAGGATGACTTATGCCTGGGAGGTCGAGACTGCACCCCAGCCTGGGTGACAGTGGAACTCTGTCTCTTCGAAAAAAAATTGGTTAGAGGTTTTCTAGAGTCTGTTTATATTGTGGAGTATTTATGCTGCCGTATTACTGAAAACGCCTTTTTGTTGCTACTTGTTTTTAGTTCCTTGTTAAACTGCTCGCCTCCTAGCCCCGCGACTTCATCGTCACCCAGGCTTCAGCTTAGTTACACCCTCACAGCTCCCGCCCTGTTCTCTCATGTCTTCGTAACACCATGCTCCTTCACTTCCAGCGTTCGCCATCGCTGGAATCTCATGGTTCTCGGCCGTCAGGTCCCACGACTGTCCTCTCCGTCATGTTCCAGCACAGCGCAGTGTCACTCGGGGACAGGCCATTGAATGGGTGACAGAAGGACTGACTGGAAGGGGCATTACACCCAAAGGACATCTTTCCTTTATTTTTTTTACTGAGACGGAGTTTCACTTTTGTTGCCCAGGCTGGAGTGCGATGGTGCGATATCAGATCCCTGCATCTTCCACCTCCCAGGTTCAAGCAATTCTCCTGCCTCAGCCTCCCAGATAGCTAGGATTACAGGCGTGCGCCACCAAGCCTGGCTAATTTTGTATTTTTAGTAGAGATGGGGTTTCTCCATATTGGTCAGGCTGGTTTTGAACTCCCAACCTCAGATGATCTGCCTGCCTCGGCCTCCCAAGTGCTGGGATGACAGGCGTGAGCCACGGCGGTCTTTCCATTCGTAGATGCAGGAGCCACCATGGTCCTTTTTATATTCAGTTTTTAGTCTGGGTTGATTATGTCGTACATTAGCTATTTTCATTTTTATTTTTTATTTATTTATTTTTTTTGAGACGGAGTTTCACTCATGTTACCCAGGCTGGAGTGCAATGGCGCGATCTCGGCTCACCGCAACCTCCACCTCCTGGGTTCAGGCAATTCTCCTGCCTCAGCCTCCTGAGTAGCTGGGATTACAGGCACGCACCACCATGCCCAGCTAATTTTTTGTATTTTTGGTAGAGACGGGGTTTCACCATGTTGACCAGGATGGTCTCGATCTCTTGACCTCGTGATCCACCCACCTCGGCCCCCCAAAGTGCTGGGATTACAGGCTTGAGCCACCGCGCCCGGCCACATTAGCTATTTTCAAATGTATATTTCATGTATTAGGTCTTCTAGCAAGGTAGGGTGAAGTGATTTCAAGGAATTCAGCTTTGCTGTTGTAGCAGCTATGCGTACCTCTCAGGAACTGTTTGAAGGATGAGGGCGTAAATTCTAGGTGAAACAACCTCTTTCTACTATTCTAGGTTTTAATTCATGTTCCCCAATCCTTGATTAATAGGCTCCTTGCATGTTATTTCATGTCTCTATTTTTTGCTTATTTTGCAAATTTTAGGGTATTTTCGTTGTGTACATGGATTGTAGGAAGTCAGGGAACACGTTTTTCTATTCCAGTTTTCCATTATAATTTTTTTCTATACGTACTGAGGCTGACGTCATGACGGTAGAGGTTGAAACGTGTGATGTGGTTCTGTGCTTAACTGGATTTCATCTCTTACAGGTAGCGCACGAGGGCCACGTGTGTGCCTCAAGATGACTGGGCAGACCCTGTCCTCAAGAGCAGAAGCTGGCCTCCACTGCTCACATGGCTGTCTACACCACGAAGTATTTAGTAGCTGGACTCCTGGAGAGCAGTGATCTATGCCCTAAGACAATGAGTTACAGATTCTTTTTTTTCAGTAATATTTATGATTAGCCATATTTATGGAAGCATCCTGAAAGATGGAATTAAGATGAGAAAGTGAAGATAATCTACATTCAGAAGCAGAAATGAGCACTTGGATCCGTTATTAACCTGAGATACATGGTGCAGCAGCGGCAGGAGTGATGGTCAGTCATGGAGAGTAACTCACAAACTTGTCCCAGAGAGGACGGTGATTTCGTTTCTGATAAAATAAAGTTTAAGATAGAAGAGGAGGACGATGATGGAATTCCTCCTGACGGTTTGGAAAGAATGGACTGTAAACGCGAGCAGGGCACGAAGCAGACAGACGGCAGCGGGGAGCGCACGGGCCTTGGCGGGCCGGGCTGCGGCTGCAAGCCCCCGGGGAAGTGCTTGTCGTCTGCAGAGAGCGAGGACGACTATGGCGCCCTGTTCTCCCAGTACAGCAGCACCCTCTACGACGTGGCCATGGAGGCCGTGACCCAGAGCCTCCTTTCCAGCCGGAACATGAGCTCCAGGAAGAAGTCTCCGGCCTGGAAGCATTTTTTTATCTCTCCCCGAGACAGCACTAAAGCAATTTGCATGTACTGTGTGAAGGAGTTTAGCAGAGGCAAAAACGAGAAAGACCTGAGTACCAGTTGTCTCATGAGACACGTGAGGCGCGCACACCCGACCGTGCTCATTCAGGAAAACGGCAGCATGTCCGCCGTGTCCTCCTTCCCCTCTCCCTCGCTCCTGCTTCCCCCCCAGCCTGCGGAGGCCGGGGACCTCAGCACCATCCTCTCACCCCTCAAGCTTGTCCAGAAAGCGGCGTCTAAGATCCCGTCCCCCGACCGAATCACAGAGGAGTCTGCGTCTGTAGTTTCTTCTGAAGAAGTCTCTTCCGACGTGTCCATTTCGGAGAAGTGCGGCAGAGAAGAAGCCCTGCTGGGGTCCTCTCCTCACCTCCCTGCGCTCCATTACGATGAAGCTGCAGAGAACGCAGCAGAGAAGAGCCTTCCACTTCCGAGGAGCACGTCGGGGTCCAGGAGAAGGTCGGCCGTCTGGAAGCACTTCTACCTGTCACCGCTGGACAGCTCCAAAGCCGTCTGCATTCACTGCATGAACGAGTTCAGCCGGGGGAAGAACGGGAAGGACCTGGGTACCAGCTGCCTCATCAGGCACATGTGGAGGGCGCACCGAGCCATCGTGCTGCAGGAGAACGGGGGCGCGGGCATCCCGCCGCTCTACTCCACCCCTCCCACCCTGCTGCCTGCCCTGCTGCCGCCCGAGGGGGACCTCAGCTCTGTGTCCTCGTCTCCCGTCAAGCTGGTCAGAGAGTCCCCTTCGGCCTCCTCCTCCCCTGATAGGCTGGCTGAGGACCTGCAGTCTCACTTGAACCCTGGAGATGCGTTGATGGAAGATGCAGCGGCATTCTCGTCCTCCGACGACGTGGGGGAGGCCTCGGCGTCCTCTCCCGAGAAGCAGCAGGCTGACGGATTGAGTCCTAGATTGTTTGAATCTGGCGCCATCTTCCAGCAGAATAAAAAGGTCATGAAGAGGCTGAAGTCGGAAGTCTGGCATCACTTCTCCCTGGCCCCCACGGACAGCCTCAAGGCTGTATGTCGGTACTGCGGCTGCGTCATCAGCCGGGGGAAGAAGGGCGACGTGGGCACCAGCTGCCTGATGAGGCATCTCTACAGGCGCCATCCGGAAGTTGTCGGGAGCCAAAAAGGCTTTCTAGGTGCAAGTCTGGCAAATTCTCCGTATGCCACGTTGGCTTCTGCAGAAGGCTCTTCTTCCAAATTGACTGACTTGCCGACAATGGTTCCAAAAAACAATCAAGTCATGTTTCCTGCTAATAGCAAAAAGACCTCAAAGCTGTGGAATCATTTTTCTGTTTGCTCCGCAGACTCCACAAAAGTCGTGTGCTTGCACTGTGGCCGGACCATCAGCCGGGGGAAGAAGCCGACCAACCTGGGTACCAGCTGTCTCCTGAGACATTTACAGCGTTTCCATAGCAACGTCCTGAAAACCGACACCTCGGAGACGGCTCGGGCCCCCTCTCCGGACATCCGGGTGCCGCTGGGCACAGAACTGTCAGGTGCTTCCTCCTTTGATGACACCAATGAGAAGTTTTATGATTCTCACCCAGTTGCCAAAAAAATCACAAGTCTCATAGCTGAAATGATTGCACTTGACCTCCAGCCATATTCTTTTGTAGACAATGTTGGCTTTAACAGGCTGCTCGAATACTTGAAGCCCCAGTACTCCCTCCCTTCCCCTTCCTACTTCTCCAGGACAGCTATCCCAGGGATGTATGACAATGTGAAACAGATCATCATGTCCCACCTGAAGGAAGCTGAGAGTGGCGTGGTCCACTTCACGTCTGGAATATGGATGAGCAACCAGACCCGGGAGTACCTGACCCTCACGGCCCACTGGGTCTCCTTCGAGTCGTCCGTCCGGCCGCGCTGCGAGGACCACCACTGCTCGGCGCTGCTGGACGTGTCCCAGGTGGACTGCGACTACAGCGGCAGCAGCATCCAGAAGCAGCTGGAGTGCTGCTGGGAAGCCTGGGTGACCTCCACCGGCCTTCAGGTGGGCATCACCGTCACCGACAACCCCAGCATCGGGAAGACGCTGAGCGAGGGGGAGCACTCGAGTGTGCAGTGCTTCAGCCACACGGTGAACCTCATCGTCAGCGAGGCCATCAAGAGCCAGAGGATGGTGCAGAACCTGCTGAGCATCGCCCGCAAGATCTGCGAGCGGGTGCACCGGTCGCCCAAAGCGAAGGAGAAACTGGCGGAGCTGCAGAGGCAGTATGCGCTGCCGCAGCACCACCTCCTCCAGGACGTCCCGTCCAAGTGGAGCACGTCCTTCCACATGCTGGAGCGGCTCATTGAGCAGAAAAGGGCCATTAACGAGATGTCTGTGGAGTGCAACTTCCGAGAGCTGATCAGCTGCGACCAGTGGGAGGTCATGCAGTCTGTGTGCCGGGCGCTGAAGCCCTTCGAAGCCGCCAGCCGGGAGATGAGCACGCAGATGTCCACCCTCAGCCAGGTCATCCCCATGGTGCACATCCTCAACCGGAAGGTGGAGATGCTCTTCCAGGAGACCATGGGCATTGACACCATGCTGCGCGCTTTGAAGGAGGCCATGGTGAGCCGCCTGTCCGCCACCCTCCACGACCCGCGGTACGTCTTCGCCACGCTGCTGGACCCTCGCTACAAGGCCTCCCTGTTCACGGAGGAGGAGTTGGAGCAGTACAAGCAGGATCTAATCAGGGAACTTGAACTCATGAATTCTACCTCAGAGGACGCGGCTGCCTCCCACGGGTGTGATGCCGGCTCCCCGTCGCAAGACTCTGCCGCAGAGGAGAACCTGTGGTCACTGGTGGCCAAGGTAAAGAAAGACCCGAGAGGAACGCTGCCTGAAGACATGGTGCTCGCATATCTGGAGGAGGAAGTGCTTGAACACAGCTGTGACCCGCTCACCTACTGGAGCCTGAAGAAGGCGTCCTGGCCGGGGCTGTCCGCGCTGGCCGTCAGATTCCTGGGCTGCCCCCCAAGCATCGTCCCTTCGGAAAAGCTGTTCAACACGCCCACGGAGAACGGTAGCCTTGGCCAATCCAGGCTCATGATGGAACATTTTGAAAAACTTATCTTTTTGAAAGTGAATCTCCCCTTAATATACTTTCAGTATTGAAACTCACGACGGCACCTCCAGGCCAGAGGCGTGGCTGCCCCGGCGTGAGCAGCCTGCACCGGGGCTGCTGCTCGCTCCGCCCAGGGCCGTGCGGACGTCAGACCGGGCACTCTCAGGACCGCCCTCCAGCTCACCAGTGTCTCCACGTGCCTTACCCCTCCTCCTTCAGGCCAGGTTTCGCGGTGTGTTTTTTAAGACATCTACTAGAAATAGGTTGTCCTGTCAACTATGAAATATGACTAGATTTTAATTCATAACTGTAAAATTTTTTAAAGTTTTGGGTTAGTAATTTACTAGAATGACAAGATGTAAACAATTTTATTCTGTAGGCTTTTTACTCAATTATGTACAAACCACAAATCAGGTACTGTATTTTAGTTAAGCATTGCTTTAATTGCAGCAGAATAGCTTTTGTGGCTATCAAATGAAATCTGTAAATAGGAGGTGGAGGTCAAGCCATCCTGACTGAGCAGTTTCTAACTGCAGGTTCTAAAGTATATCGCGGAGTACAGATAATATTCTGGAAGGTAACTGTTTACTACGACAGAGACATGGCATTTGGAAACGAAACTTAGATGTTTCATGGAGTTTGTTTTGAGAACGTTCCCATTTCAGGTTTCTGCATTCAGGCTTTACATGGTCAGTTAACTCAGAGATACCCCGACTGTTTCTCATCAGCTCTTCTGAAACGTGATCCGTCTGTAACTGTGCTCATCACCTCGCCAGTGCGTTCAGTGACACGCTGACGGCAGGTGTCCCTGCTGAGACTCCCACGCCTCTGTTTCAGCATCTCCACGCTCTGAAGCTGTCTTTCAAAATGTGTGCACTGACCCCTTGTTTGATCAAATTTGTGTAAAATTTTTTTAGAAGAGATGGCTTATTAACAGGGAAGAAGCTTGTTACATTACAGTTGTAAGAATAGCCTTAGGTGTTTAGATTTTTTTTTTTTTTAATGATAGGGAAGATTCAGCCATCGCTGGGATATTTTAGAATCCCAAGGACATCAGAATGAAGTATCGGTTATCAGATTCTTTTAACAATTATGTCTTCAGAGAAAAAAGGTTTCATTTTCTCGTTTTAAACCAATTAAATATTCTGGGTTAGACAAATCACTCGTTTGCCTACAACCTTTTAGGAAAGTTGTTTTGTTGAAATACTGTACTTATGCTTTATCTAAATTTGCATCCACTATGTTTTAGTGTATTTATAAATGGTGAACTCAGTTTCTGAAATTAAACTTTTTATTTGCAATTTTCTAGTGCTGGCAGACACTGGCTTTTTATTTTTAGGCTAACAAAACAGGCATATTCTTTGTGGCCCATAGTTGTGCAGCATTTGAAATTCCACCTTAACCCCAGATAGGGCTCGGGGGAAGTGGAGGTGTAATTGTTACAACGGCAGTTCCAAGCATGGTAACGGTGGTGACTTTCCAGGTCTCGTGTTGAGGTGGTGTCAGGATGCAGGAGCCAGTGGCCAGCCCCGAGGGTTGTCTTGGCCGCAGGCTCTGCACGTCCTCCCTGATGCCCTCTCACCCGTTTGCTGTGCACTCGTTCCCGTGAGTGCCCAGGAGTGCTGATTGGGGACAGTGCCTGTGAGGCTGCAGAGGAAGTGGGGTCCATGGCCCACCCATCTCGCCCTCGCCAGCAGCTCTGGCCAGTGCCCTCCTGGTGTAGAAGGGGTTGTGCCCAGGATAGGAGGCAGCCACAGTTCTTGTTCAGCTGTGCCCACAGCTGGCTGGCAGTCCTGTGTTTCTTAAGATTGTATTTGAAGTGGTAATGTCCTTTGAATTTTGGGATATTGAGTTTCATGGATTTTCTCTGTAAAACAAGCCAGCACAACTGACTGTAGCAGAATCACGTCCACTCAGTCATTCGACTGAGAGGAAGTGCCCTCCTTTCTGCAGGGCCTGGGCTAGTTCCTGGGGCGCAGCAGAGATTTCCGTGGACAGTCTCTGGTCTCTCGGGGCAGATCGTCTAGTCCAGGATTGGCAAGCTGCAGCCATGGGCCAGTCTGGCCCTCTGCCTGTTTTTCTAAAAATTTTCTGAAATTTTCTTGGAATACAGTCACAGCCATTTTTTAACATGTTGTCTTGGCTACTTTCAGGCTGTGACAGGAGAACTGAGTAGTGTGACAGAGACCACAGGCCCACTGAAAGGGCCAAACAGGGCTGAAAATACTGTTGGGCCCTTTCCAGAAGAGCAAGTTTGCTGGTCCTTGAGCTAGCTGGCTTTTATGTTTGTTTGTTTTAAGCTTTCAGCCTCATGCTGCTGTATTTTTAGTTGAAGTGTTCTAAGTAACGGTGTATAAAAGGGGATTGCAGAGAAAAGGAGGGCTTGCTTTACTCAATAGAAAATATGGCCCCGCTTGAGTGACACTAGGAGAGTCGTACATTCCGCTCATTTGGTCGGTGGACGTTTGTTGAAACCAGGCACTGAGGAAATGGTCAAATTGTGCCCTCCAGTTGCTGACAGTCCTGCAGGAAGATGGACAAGAGGCCGCGCGCTGACAGTCACATGACTCTCACCGTACTTGGATGAGGGGACTGTGGGTGCAACTAGAAACTATGTTTATTATTCTTAGCCATCCCCCTTGCCTCTCCGTTCAAAACCCTAGCTGCGAGCTGTTTGTTTCCCTGCCTGGAAATTATGCTTTAGGCAGTTTCCTTACTTTCTCAGGTCTGTCTCAGATAATAAAAAGCCCTTTGTATGAGCCTTGGAGCTGTCTCTTCAGTGAATGAAATTACCAGTCATTACACGAAGGGACTGTAAAAAGTGTGTGAAAATATTGAAGTAAAAGATAAAAGCAAAAAATAAAAACTTTATTTCTTGGCTGGGCACAGTGGCTCATGTTTGTAATCCCAGCACTTTGGGAGGCTGAGGTGGGAGGACTGCTTGAGGCCAGGAGTTCGAGAAATTACCCAGGTATGGTGGTGCATGCCTGTAGTCCCTGCTACTTGGGAAGCAAAGGCAAGAGGATCACTTGAGCCCAGGAGTTGGAGGTTGCAGTGAGCTATGATCACACCACTGTACTCCAGCCTGGGCAACAGAGCAAGATCCTGTCTCTTAAAACCACTGCCACCGCCACCAGCACCAACAGGCGTTTGTATTTCTCAATGTAAGCTCCATCAAGGTCAAGATACTTTTGTAAGCTATGACACCAGCCATGTAGTCCATCCCTAAAGAACTGAGGGTGCTGGGAATTTAACCATGTCAGTGCAGCCTTTTTAACATTATTAACTGAAGAGAAAGATGAGTGCCTTTAAGGATTTTTTTAAATGAGGAAGCAAGTCAGGAGTGAAATCCGACTGTAAGGTGGATGCCTAATGATTTCCCAACAAAACTATTGAAGAACTGCCATTATTTGATGAGAAGGATGAGTGCGGAGCACTGTCATTGTGGAGAAAGACACTGGTGGGGCGTTCCCGCGTGTGTGTGTGTTTGTTCTTTTTTGGCTAAAGCTTTGACTAACTTTCTCAAAACACTCTCATAATAAGATGTTATTGTTCTTTGGCCCTCCAGAAAGTCAACAAGCAAAATGCATTCGGCATCCCAAGAATGTTCATGTTGCCATGACCTTAGCTCTTGACTTGTCCACATTTGCCTTCACTGGGCCACTTCCACCTCTTGGTAGCCATTGCTTTGATTGTGGTTTGTCTTCAGGATGGTACTGGTAAAGCCCTGTTCAGTCTCCTGTTACAATTCAAGGAAATGCTTCAGGGTCCTGATGACACTTGTTTAAAATTTCCATGGAAAGCCCTGCTCTTGCGTGCAGCTGATCTGGGCACAACAGTTTTGGCACCCATCAGGTGGAAGGCTTGCTCAACTTCAGTTTTGAACCCGTTGATGTGTCTGTGGGCTTAGCTATTTTTTTGTGTGTGCTGTTAATCATCAGTCCTCTTTAATCAAAGCATGAACAAGATGAATGTTTTCCTTGCAAACTGATGTAGATGCTCTGCCACTGTGGTCTTCATCTTCATCATTGTCCCTTCTTAAAACAAGGTGTCTATGTATATACTGCCGATTTCTTTAGGGCACTGTCCTCATACACGTTCGTAAAGCATCAGTGATTTTCACCATTCTTTCACCCAAGGTTCACTGCAGATTTGATGCTTGCTTTTCCTTCAGTTTTAGCAGAATTCATGTTCTGATAGGAGTTCTTTTCAAATTGATGTCTTACTGCCTCAAACCAGATCTATTCAGACATGTTATAACAAGTTAGTTTGAGTTTATTTTGGTGCAAAAGAATTTTGAAATCCATGAACTTTTTGAAGACCACTCCTGCAGTAATAAAACATGGAACTTCATTTAAAGCTAAAATTCCTTTCCCTTCCACTTCTTTTTTTTTTTTTTTTTTTTTTTTTAAATTCTTCAGCTAAGACAGCAGAAGAGGTGATTTATTTTATGGTTGTTACATTCGGCCACAAGTAAACATAGAAATAGTCCAGAGTGTCACAGGTCCAGGGCAAAGGACCAACATGGGCAGTTTTGGTTATGAGCAAGGTGAGTCTCAGGTGATTGGTGATCAGATGGCGATGAAGTTCTAGATCCACTGAGACAAGCTCTAGACAGTAGCATGCAGTCCCACAACTTGTACCAGCATCCCCAGCGTCTGGCATTCCACGTTTCTGCTCCTGTGGCCTCCATGGTGCAACAAGCTAGCGGTTTACTTGAACCTCTGCCTCATCTTTCTTCTTTTGCGCTTCAGCCTGCGCATTCCTTTCTTCCTCCACTTCGCTCTCATGGCGCAGAGGTTTCCCAAAAAAATGGCGCTAAGGCCAAGAGAGCCCTTCCACTTCTGAGTATGAGACAGGAACTGGTATTAAACCAAACCCTTCCCAAGAACTATCAAGGCCATATAAAATCTATTTTTAAAAAGAGCTTTTTGAAGACATCAGAGAGCAATTAAGACAGGATTTGAGGAAACAAAATCCTAGTGAGCTGAGACTTGGATATGGGTGAGTCCTGCATTTGCAACATTTTTTTGTACTGGGCCATTTGCTGGTGTCCTGCTCTAAGGCCTGAAAGAAGGTGGCAACCAGAGCCCACGTAGTGTCACTGGGCTGGGAGACCGGCAGCAACATATGAGCTGTCATGTTGGCCAGGATGCCAGAGCCTCGGAGAAGGGCGAGTTCCCTGCAGGACACCGGAGCCTCAGAGAAGGGTGTGAGTTCCCTGCAGGACGCCGGAGCCTCGGAGAAGGATGAGTTCCCTGCAGGACGCCAGAGCCTCGGAGAAGGGTGAGTTCCCTGCAGGACGCCGGAGCCTCGGAGAAGGGTGAGTTCCCTGCAGGACGCCGGAGCCTCGGAGAAGGGTGAGTCCCTGCAGGACGCCGGAGCCTCGGAGAAGGGTGAGTTCCCTGCAGGACGCCAGAGCCTCGGAGAAGGGTGTGAGTTCCCTGCAGGACGCCGGAG